CGCGCGGTGAAAGTACTTTTTTTTTTTAAGTTTTACTCTCGAAGCTTTTGTAGATTAAATAATCGCGAAACGAGAATCAAAAAAAGAAAAAATTTTTATTGAAAGAGTATGATATTGCCAGAACTTTTCAAAGAAAATTCTTCAAGAATTAATAAAATATCTTATTAAAATCTAGTTTTGTTCACTATAATTATGTCACGTAACATTTGTGCATATACACGAATGATAATCTAAAGAAATAAAAAAAAGTAAAATGTTATCAAAGTTTTATTTCCTCTTCCTTGCAAAACAGTGATGCGCGATCTTGAGCTATGCGTGACGCAATGAACAACGTGTTGCAAAATTATATACGTTTGATTTTTTTTCTCTTCATGTTCTGCAGCGTTTATAACTTGTAAACTATTAGTTGCTCATATTAATATGGAAAAGTTAACGATAATAGAGTCTATAGGATAGATTTAGATACGACCTTTGCATTCTACCGCATTCTACAGTCGCGAGACTTCGCGACGGCAATTTACTATCGTTGTCAAGGACATTCTCGCATCACGAAGACCTCAGTACGGAGAATCGACGGTAGCTTGGCTTGGCTTTGGCATCGTGGCATGAGTATTGATCGCAGCGGAAACTCAAAGGGGAGGCCACCACGTTGGGCTATTCGAACCCCAATTGGATCACCCTACCTCATACGGCAAGCAACTAGAGGAGAATACGAGCGAGGACAGCCTATTTTTCAATATATCAGAATTAAGATATGTATATATACATAATATAGAATGTTAAAAATAAGATTAAAATAAAAAGCGACACTCTATTTCAAGTAATACTTATAATGATATAAATGATTCGAGTTTAGTAAATAATTAATCTAATAAGGATACATACGTTAATTCTTAAATATGATCCAAATTGTAAAAATAATAGATATTAAATAAGAAAAATTGTGAAAATAGTTACACAGTTATCACTTATAAATAGTAGTTACAATTATAAATATTTGAGCCGTTGATGTGATATATCGATATCGACTCGGCTTGTAGCCCTTGATTAGACAAAAAATATACAACCAGCTTTGACGACCATGAAGTTCACGATTTATAGTTTTCGTTTCTTGAACCAAACAAACGTGCATAGAAATTTGAGAAATCAGATATCAAATTCTTCTATTAATTATTAATCATTATCTGGAATAATTATAAAATTTAGAAGGTATTCTAAATAAATTATTTAGTACTTCCTAATATACTTATTATATATAATACTGAATAATGTATAAGATAAAACAAAGTCAAAGCATTACAAACGAAAAACATTAAAAATAGCAAATCAAATATATCGAAGCTACACTTATCAATATGGACAATAGCTATTTTTTCTGGAGTATATTTTTTTGAGTATACAATAACAAAGATCTGCAATTCCGTCGCGTTAATTACGCGAAGCGTGTATTACGTTTGATCTTTATATTCAACTTTCAATTACTCGAGTTTTCTTGATATTTTTCTTATCTATTATCTTTAGCACCCATGATCCAACGATCATTCTTTTCCTGCTGCTTTTAGGCTATTACAAATCTATGTTCGTGTATTTATATTCTCACGATTCACTATACAAAATAAGAATAATTAATAAAAAATATGTAACCGTGGAACATTATATTAAATACATTTGTTAAATACAGATACATATACTAAAGGAGCAGGAGAAAGGAGAGAAGAAAGAAAGAATTAGAAAATATACGCGCACGCACGCGCGCACGCACGCACGCACGCACGCACGCACGCACGCACGCACGCACGCACGCACGCACGCACACACGCACGCACACACACACGTTTGCATAGTATACACATGCGCGTGCGCGCGCATACGCATGTGTATACTATGCAAACGTGCGCATATGCGCGGATTTTACATCTTCATTTATCAAAATCGTTTCATATCACACGGCATATTTGGTCTCTTCAAAATCGCACCGTTACCATTTCATATTTCGGCACGCGGTTACTCGCATGGCGACGTTCCTTAGATAAGCACGTTCTTATCTATACGCGTGCTTACGTAAGCAACACTCGCGCAAACTCTCACATGGATTCGCCCCGTTCACCTCTGCTGTCACTTATCTTTTCCTTTTCCTCGTATTCTTTCTTTCCTTGTTGGTCTTCGCAGTTCTTCCTCGGAGTGTCGTAATCGGAATGCCCGACTCGTCGTGATTTTGTAATACAGGGTGCTCTCGAACGTTTTAATGACTTCTCGCTTATATGAATCTTTTTCATCAATTTGATTGATTTTTTTTTAAAGATTTTTACAAGTATTTTTTACGTAAAAATATATAATCCACATAAAAAATTTAGATGTCCCTAAATAGAGATAGTATGATCAGATTTAAAATGTTAACCGTACACTTAATATTGAATTGTGATATTTTTACAAAGGAAATTTTTCGGCTTTTTTTAGACGCAATTTGTTCATGTTAGGACAAATGAATTAGAGGAATTCATTATTTCAGTGGTATGTATTTTGCTTGTAATT